GAAATCACAGCCTCATGCCCCAGCCCAGGGACAGTCAGAACTTATTCCAGCAGCTGTGAGTCTTGCCAGGGGTCAAGTGTCCACGGGTTCTCAAGAGGGACAGGGACAGCAGGAATAAACCCAATCTTCAGTAAGCTGAGTACAGGGAGTAATACCCTTGATTTTAATCAGTGCTTTCTGAATCTCCCATAACAAAACCTGCAGAAAATCTTTCATTCATCATTTCTCCTTCCATTTTCCATTTTTCCTCTTGTGGAAATAAAGCCCAGACTTCACCCTGTCCACTCACAAAGAGCAGGCATTACAATAGTTTGAGTATGGTTTGTCCCCTCCAAAATCCACATTAAAATGTACTTCCTGTAGTGAGGTATTAAAAGGGTAGAGACAACATAGCTAGGGTACATTGAGGCAGGGCCTTTGTGAAGCGATTTACATCAGATGATCAGAGCAGAGCACCCCATGCTTATCTACTGGCGGCTGCATAAGCAGAGAGAGACTGGAGGAGGCACATGCACAGTGCATGCCCAGTCTCTCACCGTATGATGTTCTGTGTCAACCCAGCAAACCCCAGCAGGAAGTCTGTCATCAGATGTGGCCTCTGGCCTTGAACCTTGGGAACTGTGAATCAAAACAAACCCTTTTTCTTTGTAACATACACAATCTGTTATTGTTTTAATAACAACAGAAAAAGCTAATACCAGCACACACACACACACACACACACACACACACACACACACACACAACTGCTCCAGTTAGGACTACACAGTCAAGCTGTAGACTGGCAAGCAGGTGCAGCTTAAGAGAAGGTCGTAGGCTAGAGCTCAAGAGGCAGAGTAAACACTGGAGACTGAAACTGATTTTTAAAAATAACAGGATATTAGAAATGAGATCAACTGCCTAACATACATTTCAAACTAATCCCACGAAGTTATGAACACAGGAAGAGGAGGTGGAAACACTCAGTTTTGACTCATCTTTATTTTAAACAATATACTGCTTTGACCAATCCTTGTCCACCAATTTACATGAAGGCTCCATTACCACTCCAGGTCTCTATTCCTATCGCACTGTGATCCTGTGTTACCTGAATGCATTTCCCCTACTTTTTGGATCTTCATGCACATTTCCTCTGCTGAGAATGCTGGCTCCCGCTCTGCTCCTAACCTGGTAAAGTACCACTTGTCTGCCCCTCACTTTCTGAATCAGCTTCCAGAGCCCTTCGAGATTGTAGGGTTAGGGCTCACAGCAGCTGCTGCTTTACCCCATCAAAATGCTTTCTAAAGCAACTCTGCTTTCCATTTCTCCTTGCTCTGATTTTGCTGCCTTTCTTGCTTCTCGTTTATTTGGACCATATCTTACTATCTTCTCCTGAAGATAAAGCCCTTCAATTTCCTCTGGATTCTTAGGTTCATTTGTACACCTGTGCTTCCATCGGGCTTTAGATACTATTTCCCTTCAGATTTGGAAATATTTTGTCATAAGCTTGCAGTTCGCTTTTCCTCTTCACTCATCTTCATACTGCCAGCATCTACAAGAACATGGCTTGCATTCTCCTCACTCTGCACATGTGTCAGTTTTTGTTACTATTCTGAAATGCCCAAGGCAGGCTGCTCATGAAGAAAAGAGGTTCGTTTAGATTGCAGTTCTGCAGATTCAAGGGCAGGACACTGTCATCAGCTGGACTCTTGTGGGGACTTCATGGCAAATCACAATGGCAGGAGGCAGGAACCACTCGTAAGGCAAAGCATAGAGATGGAGGGGCTTGCTTGGTTTATGCAACCCTCCTACAAGAGCCAACTCCGGCCCATGAGGGCCCCCTAACCCTGTCCAGGGGCCATGCCCCTACTGAGCCAAGTCCTTCCACTATACTTGACCTCTTAAATGATCCACCTCCCAACACATTGACTCTTAGGGGACAAACTACATTCAAACACCATACCATGTATCTGTGCAGCAGATTTTTTTCCTCAGACTTATGGTTGGGAGTGAACTGACTGCCCAGGTCACAGCCCACTGCTCTGCTGAGCAACTCTTATTTACACTCAGCTGCCTGATCTTTGTATCATCAACTTTCATAGTAATTAAAACACTTCAATTCCTAGCACAGACCATTATGAAGACTCCTCTGAACCAAGCTGTAGTCTCTACCCTACGTGGCTCTCATCTTAAAAGATGGGCATCTTTCTTTCTTTCTTTCTGGGGGGTTGTGATATGTAGTTCAGGCCGGCCTTGAACTCTCCACATAGGCCAGACTGGCCTCAAACTTGCAGTGAGCCTCCTGCCTCTGCCACCTGTGTGTGCTGAAGTTACAGGCGTATCACTATGTCTGGCTTATGCTTCAATTATTTTTGCACATGTCTTTCTCTCCAACCAGATTATAACCTTCTTAGCATCAGAAACTGTCTTATTCTATGTATCCTCCACAAATAGCACAAGGTTCTATATCTAACAGATAGTTCATACATGTTCATGAAACTCAAGCAAATGCCTGTTGGAGTGAATTCCAATAATGCTTCCTCATGCAAGTGAACATAGGAAAGACATCCAACATGCTGAAAGCTTTGGTGGGGACTTGATTAAATACATTATTCAGAATCTGTCTGTTCCCTTTTGTTATGGTTAAATCCAGTTTTTGAACGTCAGTTTCCAACAAGTTCTTCAAACATGTCCTGGGCAGCACCACAGTCTGGATCAGTCAGGCAGAAGGATCAAGCCTGTATGGTCAGAGACATAGCCCTAAGTTTTGAGGTGAAGCTAATGCTATGTCCACCTCATGCTAGGACTGATCATTCCATGCCACTGATGGCATCTACATTTTATAAAGAATTGCTAACCTAAATGAAAGGCAAGATTATTTGGACTTTTGGATTAACTGCTTGAGACACTGCTTTGGGGGAAGATCAAAGACAATTCAATGAATGAATTTCCAGATGGTGTTTGTATAAACATGTCCCTCTGGAAATACATTTCTCTTGACTTTTATTCTTTTGTTGCAAACCCAGCAAAAACAATCAAGTCTTATGTGAAAAGAAATGGACTTTTGTAAGGGAGTTTCAGGTATTTTAAGATCACAGAAACCCCCTTCTCAGGAGATAATGTCAGTCCGGGACTGGCACAGTGCAGCTGGCATCACTGCCAATGCTGTTACTATCCTATGTGGAGCTCTGGTCATAGGACAGATCAGCCAGACAAATGGTGGAAAAAGATGACTCCTTGAAAAATGTCCCCGCTGCAGTTTTGTCTTTTAAACTGAATTGCAGTCTAGGAGACTTTAGTTAGTTAATTTTTATGAACACATTATTGAAAGCATTCATTAGGAGGGTTTCTGTTTCCCCTTAATAATAGAGAAGCTTGAAGTAGACCAAAGTGCCACCAAAACTGCTGGATAAGCTAGATTGAAAACCAGCTGTGGGAGGCAATGTAGGACTCAACAGATGAAGATCCAAGAGAAAAGGTAGCTGCAAGAGGCATCAAACCATGCTTCCCATCAGGGTGTGTGCTGATATTTAACTGGAGGCTATAGGCTGGCAAAGGACTTTACAAATGCATAAAAAAGCTTGAAAGGTGCTTAAATTGACAGAGCAAATTCAAGTTAAAGCTGTAGGACATGGAGCTACAGGCTCACAGCATAGTTAAAGTTAAAAAAAACCCAAAAAGATGCCACCAAGAATCTGACCAACAGGCATTTTCACAGAATGTTAAGAGCAGAGAACAGCTACAGAGTGTGTCTGCCTGCTAAGTATAAGCCCAAACTATGACCCAGAAATTGCACTCCTGGTTATATGTGCAAAAGAAGAACCTCACACATCTCCCACTGAAGACAAGTACAAAATATTTCTACCAGCATTAGTTATACAAACACAAAAGTCAAATGTCCACCAACAACACAATGAATGAATAAATATACTATCATATAGTCACACAATAGGCTACTTAATAGCAGTGAAAAAGAATAAACTACTGTTCTAGGTAACAATATGCATTTAAAGTTGAGTGGGAAAAAATGCAACACGCAGAGGAGGACTATGCTGTGATTCCATTTAATCTAAAATTTAGAAGGAGGCAGCAAGGCATCAGAGTAGTGCGTGTCTGAGTAATGAAGTGTAATGACTGGGGAGGGCAGGAGAAGCTCCATGAATGTTCTCTGCCTTGATACGGGTTCCACAACACGTTCACTTTGTCAACATACATGGAGTGTAGTTCTGCCATGTGCACTAATTCATTACACATCATGACAAACTTCAGATCTCCACTCCCCTTCCACATCTTAGTTGTACAATAGTTGTACCTGGACTCCATTTTTATGGACTCGGTATGAAAGGTGCTTTGTGTAGCAGTCATGCAAAATGGTGACCCTGACTGTAACCCCACCTTGATTTCAGCTGTGTATATGATGGTCCACACAGGACCATCTATCAGCTTCTCCTACAGTTTAATGTCATTCTATAACTAGGTTTTGGCCAATGTGGCATAAGCTAAGTCTAGGGGTGTTTGCCCTGGGCTCTCTGCTGTCTTCCTGACTAGAAAATGGTCAGGTGGAAAAGCTGTCTTGGGTCCAGAGACAGATATCAACTGTTGCAAGTGGCCGAGCCACTCTACTAGTGATACCCACCTATCTGTGGACTGGGATATGAGAGAAACAACCTTCTAGCTTATTTCAGTCATTGATGTAGGGGTCTGTTTGCTACAGCAGAAGATACTCTCATTAATACAAGCATTAAAGTGTGATATTGAAGGCAGTTATGTAAGTTGAAAACTTGGTACCTGTAGTGTTTGAGATTTATCACCAACTATTCGTTTGTATGTCAGTTGGCCACTAAACAACCTAGAGAAAACTAAGAAAATAGAACAGTACCGGCTACAATGCCTGGAAAGTTGGGTATATTGAAAGGAACACATCTATGACATTTTGTGAAATAATGGTATGGTGAGAACACAAGTCACATTAAAAAAGCTCTTCAATATTTGACAGTTTAGCAATACACAATTCATCTTACCTGGGGGTTTTTAAATATGGCATATTTTTCCTCTTTCTCCAAAAAAAGTACTTTATTTTCTGTGTCTCTTGTCCAGTCTGATAAGACCTCAACAACATTTTCATGATCTTCAAAAATCCTTTCTGATAAAGTAAGAAAAAGTACTCTTTTAGACCTAAGACATTACGGTTTCCCACTGAGAAAGGAGCTTATATTGAGTGAAACACCATCAATGGTTCATAATTGCTAGAACAGAAGATACTGTCACTAATTCAGGCATTAAAGTGTGATATTGAAGGCAGTTATGTAAGCTGAAAACTTGGTACCTGTAGTGTTTGAGATTTATCACCAGCAATAGTATTCGTTTGGATGTGAGTTGGCCACTAAACAACCTAAAGAAGACTAAGAAAATAGAATAGTTTTTAATTTTCCAGGCTACAATGCATGGAAAGTTGGGTATATTGAAAGAACACATCTATGACACCTGGGCTCTTCATCCAAGTTTCTAAAACTCTTAATTCTTATACAATGTCATTTGTAGAACCCCTACTATATGATTCAGTGTCAGGGTTTCAATTTTCCTTCCATAAAAGACACAGGTGGCAGAGTATGCAATACTGTGACAGTGGTTTTCTGTCAGGCTTCTTGAAACATGCTAGCATTTTAAAATTTAAATAGCCTCAAATGAAAGCAAACATTCCCTTGTGAGGAGGACAATATGGCAGTGATTGGTCACACAGGTTGAATGAAACTTTGAGAACCACATCTCACCTTAAAACCATACAATGTATGAATACTTGAATCAAACGGAAAAACATAAGGCAAGGCTTTCCTTTCTCTCCTTGTTTCATAGAACTAAAGAAAACTTCAAGGGTGTTTTAGTGTAAACTTTATTTCTCACAGAAAAAGAAAATTTCTCCCAAAGCTTCTAAGGCAGTAATTTTGTTTTCCATTTAGCACTCCTCAGAGACTATGGTCCTGGGAATGCTATTATGAATGAAAAGTAAAAGCAATTCTTTAAATTGCTTTAAAAATAAAACAATATGAAAGAAAACCCTGCAGTAAGGCATGGTGGCACATCCTGTAATCCCAACACTCTGAGGAATTGAGGGAGAATTGCAAGCTTGAGTGAAGTTGGGGCAAGTTAGTGACTTAGTGAGACTTTATAATAATAATAACAACAACAACAACAACAACAATAATAACAATAATAATGTTGGTGGTGTAGCTCAGCATGAAGGCCTTAAGTTTAGTTCCCAGTACTGCAAAAATCAAAACCAAAATCTGCATAAATTTCTACCGCTGCCCTTTGCTTTTGGGGGCAGAGCGTTTTCCACAGGACAGAGAATCAGGGCTTAGGCAAATGGACGGGGACGAAGGGGAATGAGCACAGATGTGAGTCTGTGGCAGTGACACCAGCTGACAGATACCTGGGCTCTCCCGCAATCTGCTCAGCTTACTGAACAAACAGAAGAATCACCTTGCCATGTTTTCCCCTGTGGAGCCACTAACGAAGTGGCAATAATCACACTTATATCCCTGAAGGTCCAGCGATCTGTTACAATCTGAAAGTCTGCATCACAAAAAAGTGGAGAGATAAATACTTACCTTACAAGGGTAGAGACATACAGACGTCTGGAGGACACTGGAGAGACCAAAGACTCTCAGAAAGCAAACCCACAGGCTGTGGGGAGTGAGGCCCAAGAAGACTTACCAATCTGTAGCTCTGGGTATATTTCATAAAGGCACCAGTCCACATTGTAGTCACAATGAGTTTTTTCAAAAAGATTGTCCAGAACATCTCGGGCCAACTGTCGTTCGTCCACCATCAATGACTTGGAGCTGTTGTCATTCATGTGAACCTTGACCACAAGCTGAGGGTAAAGCCACAGAGCAACCAGTGAGTTTCACCTCCTGAACAAGGCCAGGAAGTTTCAAGGCTGCTACTTTCTGCAAATGTGATTAGGAATGTGTGCTGTGAAGCACTATCATAAACGTACTTGCATGTCACCCGCTTGTATTCTAGGAATACAATGGTGGAGCAACTAATTTACAGAAAACAAACAAACCAGAGACTACATCCTGGGGCAGACAGAAAACAAAGAACCAGAGCAGTGCTGATGCCTTGCTTTCCCCAAATCCTTCCTCCATTCTGGAGGCAAATCACTTTTCTAAATGGAAAGCCACTCCTGTGTCTTAGCTGGGGTTGGGGTTTTCTTTCATGTTGTCAGAGAGTGTGAAATGTCAGATAAGATCGAGGTGTTTTAACCACAGCCCTGGGAAGATGTGCACAGCTCACCAGGCACAACCAGCCTGAGAGGCCTCACAGCTGACACTGACAACAGAGCAGAGGTCAGAGCTGGATTTTAGGGGAAAAGCACGAGACTAAGAGCCACACTGTTCTGGAGGCATGCAGGCACATGACGCATCTCATTTATGGTTTTTTTTTTTTTTTCATTTATGTTTTACTCTATTAAAAGATCTAAGGAACAAAATTCACAGTCACATTGACAGTTATCAAATCTGGAGCAGAATTTACTTTTCTTCAGTAAGGACACAGGACAGCACTGGCCTTTCTAGGCCTTGTGTTACAGTTATCAAAACTTTTGGTCTCACACACCGGCCACGATTTTGATGTTGCATGACAAAATGAACTCAGGAGGTAATGTGGCTGGAATGTGCACCTGCCTTAGCAGCTGTGCACTTCTGGTGTTACTGCGGGGTGTTGGGCCTGGTTATTTTCCAGTGAGACTTACTAGGAAGTCACTTTCTAAAAAGTGATCCATTATAGTGATAGGTTTGCTTCCTTTCAAAAAGTCGGGGTTAGGTCCTGAGGAGCTTGCTGACCCCTTTCTATCAAAATGACCTTGACAACACTCTAGTTAACAGAATGAACAACAGCGTTCCTGTTAAATTGCTATGCAGAGCTGCTGAAAGCCAGAGAAGGATGTGTCAGGTGATGAAAACCTGGCTGAGGTCCCTGGCAATGATCACAAATCAGAGCACTCACCCAGCCAGCTTCCTCCCAACATATGCACAACCCCAAACCCAAAATGTAGATTGAGTTGGGTCAATAGACATGTCCTTCCTCCACAGAGACCCACCAGATTAGACCCTTCATCCAGTTCTGCTACATACACACCCTTTTTTCCCTTGAAAACCTGTAGACCAGAAACCTGAAGTTGGAATGCTTTTTTCATGTCTTTTTGTAAAAATACATTTGGTTGTTACAGGTTTTCACTATGCAGCTTGGACTCACAGTGATCCTCCTGTTTTTTTAAATATAAAGCAAAGTACCACAATACCAAAGATGTATTCATTTGACACTGAGAATAGACATGAGAGGTTGCTCAGATAAACTGAAATTCTTCTCATGGCAGTCTTTATCATGATTTATTTTTCTGTGGAAGGTGTACATCTGCTTTCTGTTGAGAGTTACAGCTGTAAAGCAGCTATATGTCCTGGGACATGTCACCAATGTTAGGGCTTAGAAAACTTAATCTTCGTGGTAAAAAATTAATGATTTTTGACCACATTTCCTTCCTACTTAGGAATTCTTAAGAGAATAAAACACATGTTTTCATTTTTAAAGAGATGAAAGAAATAGTAAACCACATCATTTCACAATGATGGAATAATTTTTCACAGTAGGACTCATAAGCCAGATTTAATCCAAATGTACTTCTGAATATCCACAGTTAGAGAAGTTATACAACACAAACATCAAGGGAAGGCTGATGACTTTTATAGGAAGAAATCATATTTACTCTTCTTTTTTGTACCAGGAATTGAACTCAGGACTTGCCAGGCCAGAGCTGTATTGCTGAGCTATATCCCTTGCCTTACAATTCTTCACAGGTTCCCTCACATTTGCAAGTTGAAAAGTAGCTCTAGCCAAGCCAAAACAGCATGAAGTAGCAGCTTTATTATGTGATTTAGCACTCTAAGTATTTTTCATGTACACATGATATTGCATGGGGACAAAATAATTCAAAAATAAAAAATTACATCTTTCTAATCTACTATAGTAAAAACTTTATAATTTTATAATTTTTCTTATTTCCCACTTGCAAACTGCCAAATGCAAAAATATCCTAATCACAAATCATTTGAATTGCCTACTTTTGGCTCCTATAATAAGATTAGCAAATGAAATTGTCTCCTGTGTCACAGAACTTCAGAATAAATAAAATTAATGAATGAATGTGATTGTTTTTAGTTTGAGAAGGTTTGCAGCACTAGTGATGTACATTATTTATAGTTCAAAATGATTTCAACACTCTCGAAACACTTGCAGGCAAAGGAACCCAGGTGAACTGTATTCTGAGGCCTTAAATGCATGTTGTAGACGTGTGAGCACCTCCCAGCTACTTCCTTAATGTCTAAGTGTCTTGTTGTTTTCTTAATGTTCTGTGCCACAGACAGATTGCTGTCTTAAAAAGTATATCTGAAGTGTTTAAAGTCAGAATATATAACTTGTTTCAGTAATTTTCTCTCTGTCCCCACTGATCAAAGTGGCCTGTATTTTACAGCTTCCTCACTGCATCAAAGCAGCTTGTGCTCTGTACTTACTGTTATAATTCATCTACACAAAACATGGGAGGTTCTTTCACTTTCTGATGGATGGCAGGAGGTGGCTGCCATGTCCTCCTGTTCTCTGCCAGGCCAGCTGGAGCAAGCAGACTGAATCTGCTGCTTGTTCTATCTCTGTGTGTATGAAATGACTTCCCTTTTTATTTCTCTTCTGAAAATACGTACAATGTGGCTTATTTACAAATGATCTTGTGATTTGAGATAGTAAATTCTGTATGGTTTCTCTGTCCCCACAGGCAACTTAGGGACTGCATTGCTCAGTATCACCTGCCATCTATTTGTGACCCTGTCAACACAGGTCCACCTGTGTGTCGGGTTTTGTGTGACAGAGGGTTCTGGGGCAGGTCTTCCTGCTGGTATCCCCTACACCTACAACTCATTTCCTATGAATCAGCCAGTCTGATCTTCACAACCTATGTACCAGCCTTACACGCCCCTATTAAACCCTCACTCTCATGTATCCTGTTGTACTCGGGATACAATCCAATCCTTTCCTACTGCCTGCGAAAACTGCAGCTCCCAGCCTTCTCCAGCCTCAGCGCCTTCCTCCACTTTTACTCACTGGCTTATAGCACAAGGGCCACTCTGCCTGCTTCCTCCATCTCCTTAGGCTCATGCTTCTGTCACTGCACTGCTCTGCTGGTGTGCTTCACCAAGCCCTACATGCAGCCAGCTGCCTCCAGCCAATGAGGTCTTTGCTCAAAGCCACCTCCTCAGAAGGGCTCATCATCACTAAATCCATCTAGGAGAGGGACCAAGGCACTTGTTACTTCCTCCTGTCTCTCTTGCTAGGACTGAAGTTTGCACAGGGAGCCACCTCCTTTGACTTCTGTGGAGAAGCTTCTGGGTAGGTGATGAGGGATGCATGACATAAATTAATAGATGGTACACCAGAGTGTGAGCAGCACAAGGAGAAAAAGAAAGCAGGAGCACATGGGAGCTTTGGGGATGTGTGTGAGCAGTGATGGAGGCCTCAAGGAGGTGACAGAATACTTAAAGAAAGACCAGAGTGAGCCTACTCAGATTTGGAGGAGATGGCAGGGGACCACAGGAAGGGCTTCCCTGGTGGGCTTGAGCAACACCCTGACGACAGGTAGCTAGAGTGGGGTGAACACATGAGACAGTGATGAGAGATGAGGCCACATCACATAGGGGTGTTAGGCCACCAGGAGGGTTTGGGTTCCATGGTACAAGACAGACAGTTACTGAGAATCCTAGCTACAAGAAGACAAAGGAGTAGACAGAAGCTGGGGAACAGTAGGTGGGTACACCAGCAAGACATTGCATCCTTGTCACAGGAAAGCATATGGGGTGTACTGTACACACGCAGGTGGGTAAACGTGTTGGTGTAAGCTTTTCTTTCAATTGATTTTATTTTTACAGTGAAAATGGCAGCAAATCATTAGCTGAGCAAATGTTGACAAAGAAAGAGGAACTGCAGATTTCAAAAGCAAGGACTTGGCCAGAGCGGATTGCCAGACTGGCAGGAGAGTGAGAAGACCAGGGAAGCTCAGACAGGACTGAGCACCCAGGACTGAAAAGAGGAGGGCTGGATGGAGCCCAGATCTGAAAGAAGGTCAAGACCAGTGAGGATGTATCATTATACAACCACTGTCTGTGGAATTTCGTCTGCTGTGGTTTGGATAGTGCTCCCAGGAAGCACATGTATGGAAGGGTGGACCCCTAGTGAGTGGAGTTGTGAGAAAGTGGTGGTACATTTGAGGCAGGATTTCATTAGAGGAAGTTAGATTACTGAGTGACATATCCCTGAGGGGACACTGGGAACCTGGTAGCTTTTTCTTTTTCTTTGCTCACTGGTTGCCATACAGTGAGCCAATCTCCTCTGTCCCACACCCCTGCCATGTCATATTATGTTGCCACAGGCCCAAGGCCACACACCATGGACCAAAACCTTTGAAACAGTGAGCCAAAGTAAGGCTTTCCCGCTTGTAGGCTGATCACTTCAGGCATTTTTTGCAGTGACAGCTGACTGCCACACAGTCAGTCACATGCAGAGAATAGGAGAGAATGACAGCAAGACAGCACATGTCCCTTTGGAATGAATGGAACCAACTGACCAGGAAAGGCCTCCTAGATGAATCTTTAGAGTCTGTATCAAGAGTGTCAAGGAATATTTATTGAATTAATCAACATGTATGAGTCACCATCATTCAAATAACTATGACGCGTCCCTGGGAACGTAAAGTCAAGGTCCCATATGAGGACAGTTCATCCAACTATCATTAAAAGATCTTTGAGGCCCACAGATGTTAAATGCTTTAGGAATTGACGTAAGATGATGACTGTTTCTTACTTCCCTCAGTTTCCCAATTTTACTATTATTAGCATGTTGTTATTAGGTACAGACCTCTCGTGATGTTAGATACAGCTGTGTTTATATAATGCAGGTGTTCCTGAAAATCCTATGTGCTCTAGAAGTGCACAATAAAATCGTAGGATTGTTGGGAAAGTAGGGCTAGAGGCAGTCACTCAAAATCTATGCAACTTAGAAACCAGAGGGCCAGCAAAAAAAATGTTTGGTTCCCAGGAGATGATGTCGACTGCTAGGGTGGAAAACAGCACTAAGACTGCCTGGGAAGTGTGAAAACGTATAAAAGCAACTGTGGAAACGTGGTGCCAAGCTAAACTGACCTTTGATCCAACTAAAGCAAGCCCAGGTGTAGCGTCCCAGAGGAAGGAAGGAAAGAAGGAAGGAAGGAAGGAAGGAAGGAAGGAAGGAAGGAAGGAAGGAAGGAAGGAAGAAAGGAAGGAAAGAAAGAAGGAAGAAAGGAAGGAAGGAAGGAAGGAAGGAAGGAAGGAAGGAAGAAAGGAAGGAAAGAAAGAAGGAAGAAAGGAAGGAAGGAAGGAAGGACCTTCATACAGATTTGCTTTTAAATTTCTCAAAATAAATTGAAAAGGCCCCTGCCTATCTGGCAGCCAAGTCAATGGCCCTTTCTTTCTTTGTTCAAAGTAAACTTTAGGGGCTGGGGAGATAGCTCAGTGGAATAAGTGCTTGCCTGGCAAGCTCAAGGTCCTGAGTTCAATCCCTAGTACCACCACCAAAAACAAAAAAAAAAAAAAAAAAAAAAAAAAGAGAAAAAAAAGTAAATTTTAGAATGGATAAAGAAGATGTAGGTTTTTATATATATATACAATGAAGTAGTACTCTGCCATAAAGACAGATGAGCTGGAGACATTTATGGATGGACCTTAAGACCATACTCTTAAGTGAAATAAATTGGATACACATGTGTAAATACCGCGTTGTTTCACTGGTGTGAGAAAACAAAGGTATAAATAAGGACCCAAATGTATAATAGATATTGGGACATAGGAAGAAAATGCCCAAATAGGAAAGAGAATGGGTGGGGGTGGAGTGGGGAGGAAGAAGCAAAAAATGGAAACAAAGCTTTTGTAAAGGAGGAGGGGATGGGGGGGAGAAGGATAACACAATGGGGAAAAATCAATTTATAGCAGGTACTTGTACAGCTTCCCTATGACAAAAGTGATTGTTATGTGTAAAGTACAGCAATAAACTTAATAAAAAAGTTAAGTTCTATGGGATGAAAAAAGAACTGAAATGTGTTATGTACGTGTAGTAACTCCCTACAATGAATGCACCCGTCATGTACTACAAACACGTATTAATAAAAATAAAAATTAAAAAAAAATCAACAAAATTCTAAGACCAGGTATGGTAGCACATGCCTGAATTTCCAGCACTCAGGAGGCTGAGGCAGGAGGATTCTTCTACTCCCAGAAAAACTCAAGAGAGCTAACAAAACATCATATATAAATTAAGGAGGGCCGGGGAGATGGCTCAGTGGAATAAGCGCTTCCCTGGCAAGTGCAAGGGCCTGAGTTCAATCCCAGGTTCCGCAAAAAAAAAAAAAAAAAAAAAAAAAAAAAATTAAGGAAACTTCCATTTTTATGCTAATGTAGGTCCCTTATTCATTAAGCATAAATGAGCTAATTGAGGCTATTGAATAAAAAAATAGTATAATTTACCTTCCTCTTCAGAATTAAAAAAAGACAACTGTTTGAGAAGTACCACTTGAAATTTTATCATTAATTATGATATATCACTAATTTAACACCTCCCACGCCCTTAAGTGAGTCATAGTTCTTTACCTTCTTAACCTTGGCCTCCTTCAGTTTCTCCAGCGCTAGCTTAATCTTATCAGCCTTGGCTTGGGCCTCTTCTTCCTCCTGTGCAAGGCAAGACATTCAGCACAGTCCCATGAGTGACAATGGTCAGTGACAGGCTTGCTGCTAGTGTCTTAGTCCCCCGATAGTGACAAAAGATATCCAGTTTCACATTGGATTTTGAGACTCCAAATGCTTATAATCAAAATCTTTAACCTCAAGGTACAGAAAGCAGTGAAACTTCCTACCTTGGGACTCTGACATACAAGATAAACTAACTGATGACATAACAGGTGTTCATATGCTTAGACTACACACAAAAAAATCTCTGATTGGCTCACAAAGTAGGGGCACCAACCTAAGGGGTATAAGAGGATCCATCTCAGGGGATTCAGGCACTTCCTAAAACTGTATGCAAACTTGGATTAGAATACTGTTTTGGGGGAACTCTTGGGTTTTATTAATTCTTTAAAAAGGTCCTTAATTCCCCAAAAGTTAAGACAATTCAAAGTCAATCCTACAAATTACAAAAAAAAAGCATTGAAGAACAAACACATGAGCAGTCAAAAAAAAAAAAAAATAAAAGAAAAAAAGAAAAGTGTGAAATATTTTATGAGACCAAGTTCCTTTGGTTTTTGTAAATTAATATTCTAAGAACAAGATTATAGACATTTATCAATATCCTTTCCAGCTATGACATTATGAGTGATACTTAGATCTGTTTTCACCCCTTGAACAGAACTGCCAATGTCATTGGCATTAATTTAGTTCAATTTAGAGAACATGTAATGAATGGTTTTTATTACTCATGTACTTGCCTAGCACCAGGGACATAGAAATATATGTATTAACTCCAGACTTCAAAGTTAATAAAATATATCTCCCAAAGGTTGACTATATCAGGAAGTTTGTATATATGAATATATTTTTTAACTAAAGTAAGAGAAATCCTAAATATGGCCTTGATGTGTTCTCTTTATATATCTGGTAAGATCTGAATGTGCTCGACAAAAATCATGTTGAAATTTAACTTCCACTTTGTGATTAAAAGGCAGGACTGTGTGGGACCTCTATTAGATAAGTGGGTCAGGAGGACTCTTCCCTAATGAATAGGTGAGCCCGCTTAAGGACTAATGGATCATCACGCAAATGCTTGCCTGCCTCCCCGTGTGATTCCTATGCCCTCACCAGATGTTGAGAAGATGCTGATGCCCTGATGTTGGACCTCCTGGCTGCCAGGACAATGAACTAAATAAACCTCTGTTTTTCTCACATTACCCAGTCTGCGATATTCAGTTATAGCAACAGAAAATCGACTAATACAACACTTACACTTTTTGTGTATAGAGTGCTCTGGCTCTGCAGCAAGTGTATGGAGTATCCTTGGTTTTAGTATCTCAGATTTTGTGCATAAAAACTTAGGGATGTAATTACCACATCAAAGGTTACAAGCGATGCATGGAAGAGGTCAGTGTTTCTGCGATCTCTGGCCCCATGCACTTACCTTAGAGAGAGGTTTGGGAGGTGGTGGAGACGGCGGAAGGTCTAACATGGGATCGGGCGGTGGAGGTGGTAACTCATCCTCATATTGGCTGATGCTAACTGCAGGGACATCTGCTCCATAACCCACAGAGGCGGTGCCCCTGAAATTTGAAGCTTCCAGAGATGCTGAATAATTTTGATTTTGAGAAAACTCTTTCTGTGTCTGGACTGTCTGCTGTTCGGCTTCACTTATGTCTGCTATCAGATCAGCCATGAGAGCATCTAAATCTTGGTCTTCCAGTGCGTTTAGGGACTCTGATGGTGAAAAGCATATTAACAATAAAAAACTCTTTGAAAAACCTTTTTTTTTTTCAATAAAACACTAAAAGAAGATGATTTTTAAAAGTTATATTTGTGCAGAAGGAAATCATTTTGATTCTGGTAACATAATGAACAAAATTGAAAACATTTTTATTCAGTAGCACATGCATAGTATAGGAGTTTCTGAGTGATTATTGCTGCATTTATTGGATACCTAATGAGTGAACTTCTGATAGAAGTAAAGGAGGAAATGTGTTCTAGAGAGGCACTTCGGAAACTAGCTATAAAGTTAAATCTAAGCACATGAGCAGACACCAAAGTGGGAATTATTGAATATTTTAGTGCAATATCTTAAGGTTTCAAAAAAAGTGGGGGCTGGGGGAGTACAGGAAGTGGGTCGAAGGAGAGTTCTTTCCATGCATTGAGTGTGCAGAGTTCTGCTGATGAATGTATTTGGAAAAAATATAGTTGACTTCATCAACTGGATTTAATGCACCTTAAGCCTCAATGAAGATGAAGCTTCTGAAGGGTGCCCACCCAACCACAGGAGATCTCACACTTAAAGAAAGATTAGTTAATGATAAATAACAACAATTAAAGCAGTGAAGTGTAAGGAATAAAAAAAATTAAATGGAGATTAAGTAGTAAACACTTTATGAAGACAGCGAGCTAGGAATGAATTTTTATAATACAGGACAGACATGGATTTTATAATATAATTTCTTCAAAGGATGAGACCATGGTGGCAGACCATGTGCATAACCCTGGGACATGGTGACAGGACAGCCTGGGATACTGGGGGTGGTGGTAAATGTGAGAAAGAAACGGTAGGCAGGACAGAAGGGACACCTGAGGAAACTGCTCTCTGTAGGATGAGTGAGAATGAGAAAAAGTGCACAACACAATAACGTTCTACTCAGGAACTAATGAAATCTTTGTGAAATAATTTACCACCAAATGGTATCACCACCACAGAGCACGTTACAGCAGAACTAATGGTTCTAGCGTACAGCACTCACAAGTTTGGATCATCTAGTTATATCAGTTTTTGGTAAAACAATTTTACATATAACTTCTTTATAAAACAAAATTAACTTAAAATATTTTCAGAGAAGTGTTGCAAAAGACTGTAACATTTTCCTGTTCACAACTTCCTAACATAATCACATTTTGACTGTTAACATGAAGACCTTTTAATTCATTATATTTTAGTGACAGAAAATTTCCCCAATGGTATTTACATGAATAATTTTCAAAGACAACTTGATATGTCAAATTATATTATTTATTGATATGCTAACAAAGAAACTTAATGTATGGATATAGATTAAATGATAGAGATTCATTACATTTATTAATATAGAACTGAGTAATACAGAACTGGGGAAGGAGATGGAAATGGATTCCATTCTGAAGTCTTTCAATAATTCTTTGACTTTGAGTAAAATGTTTTAAATTCATTCTAGTAATATTTTAAAATGAAGATAGTAAAAAATGTATTCCAACACTAATTTTCAAAAAATTAAGTTTTCAGTATACATCAGTATGGTTTGTTTTTAATCCCCAAATTAGGCTATGTGGGTGCATCTTGTCTCCTTAATGAGATGAGTTTCTTGTTTTTTATGATGACATTGAAATTTCAGAGACTTCAGGTTTTTTGTTCCTATTATGTTCAGTAATTTTTTTGATACAAGCCACTAAATTGGTGCTTAGAAAACATGGTTGGCTTGTCTATCACTATACTGAAGTGCTGACTGCATTCTAATCAGAACGCTTTTCAGTATGGCACTCATATGTGATGAGGGCGTGAGATGAAGCTTTATAGGAGAGATGAGTAAGCACATTTTAACTATTGCTGTCATAGTTTTACAAAAGACTATTGCATTTTTGAAACCTAGCAGATGACTAGTAATAATATGCTTATACGGCAGACAGTAAAGAATGTGGAAAAAAGAGAAAAATCAGAAGAATGGCATTACAATTTCTAAGGAAAGAGTCATTGATACCTAATTGCTTATCAAAAAACTAAAAAAAAAACACTGAAAATGAGAGAAACAAAGAAACTCAAGTGAGGGAAAGAAATACAACTTAAAACTCTGGATTTCTATAATTAGGCTTCTTTTGATGTTGTTTTATTTTATACTTTTGTAGGCTCCAAAAGTCTTTGACAAATCTGTTTTAAGAGTTTCAGTGAATTCTGATTAATTTGGAGGCGATCACTCAAGATTTATTGTAATTTGAATGCCATGTGAGCTAAAGATTATTTCTGCACTAAGTAACAAGAAAAATTTTGGTTAGTAAAATGAGTCAAGCCCAGAAAGCATGAAAACATGTCAAACAGAGCAAATTACATAAGTATATATTACATGCAAATTAAAACTTACTGTATTTTAAATAAAATATTTTATATTCGAAGTACTTATATGCACATTTCCAATCGTGATGGAGAGTTCATTTGTATCTTCAAAGGAACATTTCCTTATTAGTGTTTGTTTACATCACTTGTTGCTAATGAGAAGTAACTCCCCTTACTTCAAAATAAGAGATTCTTTTAAAACATTTTACAAATGTAAGTATTCTCTATCAAGATGTGCACAAATATCTAATCCTTCCAAAAAAAAAAAAAAAAAAAAAAAAAAAAAAAAGGAAGGGGAAAAAATCATGCGTGTATGTATGTGGAATAGCTAAGATGACTGTGCTACTAATTTCTATAGATACTTTGAAGGGAGCAATTAATGCTTAAAATTTTTACTTTGACCAATTTTACATCTTAATATCTGGTAATCTGAGCAACTACATTGAAGACAACAATGTAAAGTATAATAGTCACTGTTGAATATCATCTTTTTTTTAAATCTGAAATTGTGTATCATTTCTAATGTCTTATTTTTTTTATTAATTAATTAATTAATTTGGTACCAGGAATTGAACTCAGGACCTTTTGCTTGCCAGTTAGGCACTTGTGCCACTGAGCTATATTCCCAGTCTTCTAATGTCTTGTCTATTATTTTTCTATACTCTTTAAAATAAATTTTAAAAAATCTAATTCTCTTCCTTCACTCTAGACACAAAGATACAATCTGAAATCCAGGACTTAGTTTTGTCTCTTGATCCTTGTATTCAAATTGCACTTCCCATACAGATCTCAGTCATCATTACAAATTCAAATTAGTTAAGAAAAGAAATTGTTACACTTACCATTTAAATCCTTAAAACCCACACTGTAGTTAAATTCAGCCCTGGGAGTTTTAGGGTCAGGAGGAGGAAGAGTGTCCACTCCCAAACTCTGTGAAAACAGATCCCAGTCCAAGTGTTATTTATGATGCCAACATTTCAATAGTACATTTGAATCAGAACATCAAAGGCCATTTATTCTTTATACATTTCTCTCTAAATATGTTCTTTAAAGACCAAGATCTTAGTTGAAAACGTTTTATATTTTTTTTTCTCACCAAAAATTACAAATTAAAAAATTATTCTAGCTGGAACATCATGAAATGGACCATCCCAATTGAAAATGATGAGGAAGAGGTAACTTTAAAAAAAAGAGAAAAATCTTCCTATAATGTGGAATACATATATTATATACAATTCTATAAGGACTGAACTAATGACATCAAAGAAATCTAGTGACTTAGAGGAGAAAAGCTCTTTCAAGATGTTATGCTATTACTTTTACTAATAGTATGTTTGTTAAAAAGAAATCAAAGCATTAGTGGGGTGGCTCAGTAGTACTCATCCAGCATGCTATAGGTTTAATTCTCAGCAAAGAGAAGGAATTATCAACTTTGAAAATATTGTTATAAATATTGTTTTACTTAGAACTAAGAGACTCATGTGATTTAAAAGTCAGATTACATATATAAATTAATTTCCAAGAATATTTTTATGTCGATAATGTAACAAGTGACTTTACCTGTCCTCATACATAGATGTTTTATAACTGTGAATGTATCTACTGTGTTATTTTGATTTGTTAAATATTCTTGTCCAGTTTTTTAAATTCTGGAGGAAACCATTTTACATTTAAAAATAAACAAAATATAATCTATTTTAGCAAAAAATTATGACCATTAATCACGAAGCTAGAAACATTAATGTTAGAACCAGATAAAATGTAGGTAAAAATGACAACCTTAAAATTCTTTTTTTTTTTTAGTGAATGAAGGCAAGAGACAGGAAAAAGAATGTTGCGGGACTATCTTGCTACAAGGTTGTATATGGTTAGATTTCTGGACTTATGTGTAAACATAAGAAGTATATAATTCTTTATGCCTATTTTCAAAATATATTTAAATTTTTAAATGTTTTTTCATCATATTCTGTAGGGACTTAAAGTTCAACATATCAATACTTGATGAAAACACTTGTTCCATGTTATGCCTAAGATGTTTGATATTCAGACAGTGAGCTTAAGCTTAACAGCTTAGGTTGTATGGTAATAAGAATAAACTTCTCTTCTAGAGGGTTCACAACCTAAGTCTGCAGACCAAAATTAGAGAAAAAGGAGGGCCACAAGGAAAGCCAACATTTTGGCCCTAACCTTCTAAGGTCAATTAAGACTCAGGACATATGAG